CAATAAATTTTGTTCTCTATGCCCTACATACACCTTGTTGTATTCGCATGGAATCTTGTATAACTGCAGTTACAATTTAACAACACATTTTGTATTTTTTTTAGTTGGTTTAAAATTAACATTAATGCTGAAAACTTTCCATCCAATTTTTAATTTTTATAGACATTTTAGGGAGATATGGCAGTTTTATAAAACCCTTGTTTCTCTTTCTGTTGACTTGACCATTTTCTTGTTACAATTCTTTAATAATCTATTTACTAAATTTTTGCTATAACCCCTTGATTTGGATAACTGTTTTAAATATCTTATTTCTTTTCTCTCCTATCTTTATTTAAACTAGCTATGTTAAAATAGAACCGCCTTTCTCAAAATTTAATTTTGTAACTTCTCGTTAATTGAAAGTATTTTTTATCTTTTTTTAATTATTGCTATAGATTCTCTAACCATGGGTTTGAACAATAATTGTAGGTTTATCTCAAAGAATTCTATGGTTATTTTAAATGCGTGTTTTGTAATTTAGGATTTTTAAATCTTCCCTCTTTTATAATCAGATTCATGTTCCTTTAATCCAACAGTAAACTTTGGTTTGTTTGCTCAAGCTAAACCTTGTTACATTTACAGATGTAAAAACACTGAAAAAAAGATTTAGTGTGTTCAAGAAATGTCACATTCAGAACATCCAAACACTAGTTAAGAACGAAGATGTGAAGTACACCAACACTTACTTAAGAATGAATTCCATTCCAACAAAATTTTATAGTGTTGTATAAAGAAAAATTTGGTGAATATTTTTATCATGGATGTTTAAGCAGTTTTTAATTACAAACAAAAACCTGTATTTCTTGTTACCTCTAACAGTAATAAATAAATAAAATATACATCATTCTTTATTATTCACTGAATAATAGTGTCTTTATAGAAAACATTTTTGTGACAATGTTTATATTAATGGAAAGCTACTAAGTTTGCTATCTGCAGGTGTCTATTGTGGAGACTGAACCACAAATTTTATCATTATAAGCTAAGCTTACAGCAGATCCACCAGTAAACAGAGTAATGATATAAAACCACTTGCATCACCTGCACAGAATGTATAAAACGACAAATTCAGGTTAAACAAGAATATAGCCTTCCCACTTCTTCAACCAACACAACTGTTTTAAAAGTCAGAAACTTATAAAAAAACAACAAATAACTCCATATGTTCTTAGTAATTGTATTTTCTTCTACATTGGTTTTCTGTATTTGTGTTTCAATTCTCCTTTTCCCAAAACAATTACCAAATTCCTACAATTAATAAATATTTTAGTCAAAACTATCAAAACCTTTATGTTAAATGTGAGTTATGGTGCAGTTTATTTATGACAGTATAATATATCAAATGTCAGGAATGTTGGAAGACAAAAGTCAGCTACAAGTCTGATAAAGTTAACCATCGATGTTAAATGTAGCCTGTAAAACAAATTAAATCTCTCACTGAAGGTGTGGGAAGTTAGTAAGAAGTAACTTACAAATCAATTAATCAACTATTAGCTAATTACTTGATCAGATTTTTGGCTATTTGATTCTTCTTCAGACAACACTTACAAAATGTTTGTAATGTTTGACAGTTCACTAGTTCTAAAATGTGATATAAAAATTATTAATCAAACTGTATACAGACTTCACACAGTTTTTCCAAAGCCTGTCTCTAAAAATCTTACAATTTCACACCAATGATAACAAACATGTTATCAAAAAATGACTTCCTAAATAATATATTCACCACCTACAGTTTTCCACACAATTTTAGTTCTATTAACATGATTCACAAAATATAGAATAAAATCATGTAACTGAAATTTTAAAACCTTAAAATTCAAAATCCTACATGTCTTGAAAAAGTCCAGCTACTCTACATCAGGAATAGAAAATCTTGGACGATATGGTGTACTTCACATCTTCGTTCTTAACTAGTGTTTGGATGTTGTTGTACATCACAGCATCATTCTTAACAACTGTTTGGAAGTTGGTGCACTTTGCAACATCATTCTTAACAAGTGTTTGGATGTTGGTGCACTTCACAACATTGCTCTTAAAAATGGTTTGGATGTTGATGCACTTCACAACATTGTTCTTAACCAGTGTTTGGATGTTGATGCACTTCACAACATTGTTCTTAACCAGTGTTTGGAAGTTGGTGCACTTCACAACATTGTTCTTAACCAGTGTTTGGATGTTGGTGCACTTCACAACATTGTTCTTAACCAGTGTTTGGATGTTGGTGCA